GTCTCAAATTGTCGATAAAAAGATAGATATCACGTATAGTATCGACTGTGAACTGGAATAGTACGACACAAGATCGAATCTCATGGTGTTGGACTGATGCAGTGATGACTGATGCCTAACAGATATCGCTCACACTGGAGATTTCATGTCATCCACTCGTCACTGCTTTTTGCTATCATAGACAACGAAAAGAGAGCAAAGAATCTGATATCATAGATCTTAGGTCGTATATATGGATTGGTTAGAAACTAGATAGTCCATAAAGTGGTCAAGAATAATAAGTCATAATAGATAAAAATACAATAGGTGATATGAAATTGGGGCCACAAAGCAACATGCATATATGTTAGACACACACATATATATTATGTTGCGAGGGAATTCTGGTAATTCTAACATTTTGTAGACATGGGCTGGAGTTATGGTCCAAGAAAGTAGTTTGGCTCAAGTTATATACCAAATCTTTATATAAGATCTAGTAGGTTTAGATGAATTTTAAGAGTAAGAATTTTTAGTGTAATTTAATAGAAATATGAACCTCCTTTGTCATGACCCGAGCCCGCCCCTCATGGATTAAGGTCATAGCCGGCCAGTAATCATGAGATTGCCTACGACCTCAAACGAAATTAAAATTATCGCAATAGAGCTAAAGGGGCTCAAACGGAAGCAGCTTAAAAACTTTGTCCAATGAGCTGTGCTTACATGGCAAAGCAAAAACATTTCATAAGCAGTCCATAGTAACTCACATATACAAAGTTAACATCTTAACATCTTATACATCCAGGAACTTTCAGACATGCAGTCAGCCAAACAAAAAGCTTATACACTTAGGTGGTCCAACGAAATCACCAAGGTAGCAAAAGGGGGAAACAAAAGAACAAAACAACGTCTCGTGCGTGAGACGTTCGGGCTGACTTCACAAAAACTTGGATTTCTCTCACATCCTTCATTGAGGCTGGGTTTGCACATCTCTTTGTTTACCTACATTCATATAAATAAGAGTGAGCGATAGCCCAGTAAATAATACCAAAGTAAAGAGGTTACATTAATGAAATTCCCTAATGGATAATGTCCTTGTCAAACGGCCACTGGCCCATCATATCATACGCCCTCGAGCCCAGTTCATTCCCTTATCAAATATTACAAACGGTCTCGGGCCCAATTCATTTATATCAAACGGTCTCGGGCTCAATTCATTCATGTCAAACGGCCTCGGGCCCAATTCATTCATGTCAAACGTATCAAACGGCCTCAGGCCCAATTCATACTCTTATCATACATATCAAACAGCCTCAGGCCCAATTTATACATATCAAACGGCCTTGCGCCCAAATCATGTTCTTCACACCTTATAGAAAAATTAGGCATACAGAATACTTATTCATAATTCAAATCAGCAAATCCATGAAGTTTATATAGAAGTAGCATATGGGAAATGACATAATTGACAATATCTTTACTAAGATATTACTTACAGTTTTCCGTCGATGGATTTGCCCTTGCGCTTGACCCTATACATTTCATAACACATTGACTCACAAGCAATTCAATCCGTTCTTAACTTGTTTATTTCTCTTAGGCTTCTTTCTTCTTCCTTTAGTTCATTTACAATGCTTAATGCATGCTTAAGAGTGCTTAGAAATGAAAGAGAACGGAAAACGGAACATGAAAATAACTCTTAAAAATTTCTGAAATAGGGCCCTTCACTTAAGCGTAGCTTTGGTCACTCGAACGGTCTGCAAAACTCTGTAAAAGTATTGGTTAGCGAGACTTTCGCAGCTCGAGTGAGGAGTCTTGCAAAACAGGGTTTTCTCGAGCGCAAGATTTGTCACCCGAGTTGCTGTGCAAATCTTTGCAAAACTTCTGGGAGCTTGATTTTTACGCTTGAGCAAGGCTTTCTTCGCTCGAGCAGGTAGGTCGAATTTTGGAATTTCTAGAATTCTGTTTGAAGCTCAAAACACACATCCAAAGGTCCAAAGCTTGCGAATTGATACCAAAAACATAAAAAAACATTATACCATGAAAACATGGGTAATTTGAATCAAATTGTCCAAAATCATGGTCCATTTTCCAAATCATTTCAAATTTTTCATTTCAATTTCAAAACTCATACAATCAAGCTTCATACCTTCATGAATCATGCATACATGTAAAATATTGACTCTCATTCCATTTCATATGATACAAATAATGTTTAAAATCATGAAGCTCAATAAAATTATGCATGCATGTGTGATTTGGCGCTCAATTCTTCAAGGTTAACATGTTACATGCTTGATTATGCAAATTTGTGGCAATTCCTTACATGCATGGATATATAGACCTCAATTTCATCATATACCACTTAAATCTCATTCTTAGTCGCATATCATGCTGGAATCCACTAAATTATGAACTTAAACTCATGAATTTGAGTTTAATCACTCACCTAAGAGCTCCAATCTTCCAAATTCTAGCTAGTTCTTGAGTTAACCTTCTCAATCTTCAAGCTTCTAGCTCAATTCTCTAATTTTGTCTTCACTCTCTCTCTAGAATCGTCTCTCTTTCTAGAGTGTATTTCAGCCAAGTTATGAGAATGAACTCAAAAGAATGAGTAGAGTGTAAATAGGTCCTTATATATGCTTGCCTAATCAAATTTGATTAAGGCTAATTAATTATTGCTTAATTTAATCAATTTAATCTAATTAACTTGGTCCGAATCAGTTTTTAATTAAATTTCACCATAGGCTCTAAAAATCACGGTGATCACAATGACACAGACAATTTCAACTTTTGTCGCCTCTACGGCTTTCAATTTTCAAATTAAAGCGGTAAGTTAGACAGATTTTCCTACGGTGAACAGATATTACTTCACAAAATCAAATAATAAAGCAATTATCACCCAAAATTAATTTAAACACATATCCACAAGCATAATCATGATTAATTAACATAACACAAGACAAGGTTATCACAATCTCCCCCCCAAAGAAGTTTGGTCCTCTAAACTTATTTTACCTCCATCCGGAAACAAATGTTGGTAGTGTAGCCGCATTTCATCCTCCTTTTTCCCATGTAGCGTCCTCATAGTGTTCTTTCCATTTTACCTTCACCATTGGGATGGACTTGTTCCTCAATTGTTTCACTTGCCGGTCAATGATCCGTTTTGGCCATTCTTTGTATTCCATATTTTCATCAAGTGCTATCCAGTGGTAGTCAATCATGTCAAACGGATCTTGGAGATAGCCCCCTCAACATCGATACATGGAACACATTGTCCATTTGTTCGAACCCCAATGGCAAAGCAACTCTATAAACGACTGGACCAAGTCTTTCCAAAATTTGAAATGACCTAATGTAACGGGGTGACAATTTTCCTTTCTTACCAAATCTCGATTGACCCTTCATCGGTATCACACGAACAAATGCATGGTCACCAATCTCATACTCAAGAGGTCTTTTTCGAACATCCGCATAATTCTTTTGCCGGCTCTGTGCTGTCTTGAGCCTTTGCTGGATAATTTTGATCTTCTCAGAAGTGTCTTGCACAATTTCAAGCCAAGTAAAGCCATATCTCCGACTTATGTCCAACAAATTGGTGATCTACACTTTCTGCTATACAAAGCTTCATATGGTGCCATACTGATGTTGAAGTGGAAACTGTAATTGTATGCAAACTCTACTAGTGGCAAATAGTCCTCCAAACTCCCTTGAAAATCTAAAGCACACATTCGGAGCATGTCTTCTAAAGTTTGTATGGTTCGTTCTGATTGCCCGTCTGTTTGTGGATGGAACGCGGTACTGAATCTCAGTTTTGTTCCCATTGCTCTTTGCAGGCTTTTCCACAATCTAGATACAAATTTCGGATCTCTATTCGATACAACAGATATCGGTACTCCATGTAAACGAACAATATCATCAACATGTATAGTGGCTAATCTATAAGCATCAAAAGTAGCCTTCTTAGGTAGGAAATGTGCACATTTGGTCAGTCTATCAACTATAACTCGAATAGAATCCATACCTCTAGGGATCCGAGGTAGGCCAAGAACAAAGTCCATGGTTACATGCTCCCACTTCCATTCTGGAATAGGGAGTGGTTGAAGTAGAGCGTCTGGTTTCTGATGTTCAGCATCAACTTGCTGACATTGAAGGCACTTGGACACATACTTTGCGATCTCCTTCATTTTGGGCCATCAATAGCTTTGCTTCAAGTCCCGATACATTTTAGTATTACTCGGATGCATAGCAAATATCGACTTGTGAGCTTCATCTAGGATTCTCTTCTTTAGTTCAGGAATGTTTGCGACACATAATCGGTTTTGAAATCTCAATACTTCATTATCAATGCCGAATTCAGGTTTCGGATTTGCTTCAAACTCGTCAATTATTTTCTTGAGGAGTTCTTCCTCTTTTTGCCTTTGCTTGACTTCGTTCACTGTTGCTGGTTCAGCTGAAATGACAGCTGTTAACCCAGCTTGTCCATGTAACACAACTTTCAATCTCGGTTTTCTCAAAATCCTGTAAGATTTCTTTCTGTTCAGTGAGTAGACAAGCTAAGTTCCCCATTGATTTTTGCTTAATGCATCAGCAAAAGTATTGGCCTTTCTTGGGTGATAGTGAATCTGAACGTCATAGATTCTCGGGAAATCTTGTTTTTCCTAAGGAAGGACTAATCGTGCTTAATTAAACTCTAGAGCTCTCTCTCTTTTTCTATGTAAAGATTGATTAATGAAAAGAGCTCATTAATCAAATGATTAAGTGTTGAGCATAATTAGTTAGGGCTAACTAATCATGTGTAGTACTTAATCTTTATTAGCCTAGTTAAACTCCTTGCTTCACCTAGTTTGAGTTGAGATGACTGGGATGAAGAACAAACTAGATAGTTAGATTATCACCATTTTGATATTATTTTTTTTGTTCTTGAATTTTAGGAAGTTATATTTCCATGTTTTCTCTTGATCTCCAATGATTTTACAAGTTCAAATTTATGTTTTGAATAAAGAATCTTTTCATACTAGTCTAAAGGAAGTACATGTGGCTGAGGTTTGTGAAGCCTTTAAAGTGGCTCGAGTCATGGTTCAGGCCTTACAAGAAAATGCTGGAAGGTGTGCTATTTGACATGAGGTACTTCTTTTACATTAATCACTTTCTTTTCCATCCAGTTAATCATATCCTTTTCTCATAGTCTAGATTTCCTTAAAAAAAAATTTGGGTGAGTGAGTCTTTGATCCTACTAAATCTGTGAGAGAGATTTTGATTGCCATTATTGATGCATTCAAAATTTGATTTCATAACATGAAGAAAATATATATGATGGAAAATATGTAGTGGCTTCTTAATTTTCATGGAACCTTAATTTATGAAAAAGAGATGTATTTTTGTTTTACAAGATATATTTTATTTTTCTTTAATCACACTTATATTATGAAATTGGATAACAATAATGGATTGGTAATTATAAAATGAGTTATATTTATCGGAGCGTGGCATATAATATTACAAAAATTAAAGTAAAATAATAAATACATTACATGTAAGCATTGGGTCATTTAAATATGTATTCAATAATGATGGTACTTTGATTTACTTATTATATATCCACTTCACATAGATGATGAATATAATGAAACCCAACTCATGTATTGTATGACATTATCCTTATGAATATACGGAGGGGAATTATGGTTTATTCTTGTCTTTCCTTTAATTATTGTTATTTATACTTAGTATTTGAATCTCCAAAATTAGGGACGTTACATTACAAATCATTGTTTGCTAAATTAATAAATATTAAAAAAAACAGAGTTTGTCAAGAGTTTGCAAAAATAACTAGGTTTGTCGTCTACGGTAGCCAAACTCTTCATAACTCTTTGTCGGGCCTTCTTTCTCGAAAAACTCCTCTTCACATGGCATGAAGCGCCATGAGTTGGGAATGCCCAATAAACACATACACATCCCGTCATTTTTCCCGTTCCAAATACACAAGTACACATGAGCATAATATGAATAAGATGCAACATATAAAATTCCACAAAGATGAGAATTACTAGGTTAGAAGTTAGCACGCTTCTAAAATCCTCTAAAGAGATTTTTCCTCCCAACCACAATGATTGAACTTAAATCAACCATGCAAACAATCTTAAATGTAGTTGTAATGAACACAATTAGAATTATTTTATTCTAATTTTTGTTTGTACGTTCAAAAAATATTATTGTTATTATTTAATTTCAAATTTACTTTTTTTTTTTTTTTTTTCATCTATTTAAGACCGTGCATAACATGAATTTTATGCTAGTAAAAAATTAATCTAAATGTTTCTAAATAAAAAGTGGGATATGGAGATGTAGCGTTATAATCTAGGGTTAATTACTTTTTTCACCCTTGTAGTTTGATCAAAATTTCACTATAGTCTATTTAGTTTTAATTTGAACAATTTAGTCCCTACGTTCAATTTCAATTCGGTTATTCCCTCTATATTTTTGTTAATTTTGTCTATGTACATATTAAAATTGAAAGATCAAATTGAAACTGAACTTGTCAATTGAAACTGAAATCATGAGATTAAATTTAACCTCTAATTTGGATAGAAAGATCAAATTGAAACTGAACTTAAAGCTTAGAGATCAAATTGTTCAATTTGAAACTATAGAGACTAATTAAAATTTAGATCAAACTGTAGGGATAGAAAGTGTAATTAACCCTATAATCTAATACTAATCGGTATCAAATAGATCCAGCCCATCTAATAAAATAAATGAAAATAAAGAAAAGGGCACTTACTATTTAGTCTCATACACGAAATTCAAAATCCATCTAATCCCAAAACAGAACACTTGCACCAATTAGTCCTATATATTTTTAAATGTTACCAAAAAATTTTTTTTTTTTAAAATTTAAAAACGTTGCTACATCCCACTATCGCCGGACTTCCGTCAAACGGTCACCGAAGACTCGCCGGAATGTTTAACATCACCGGAAGTCACTGTATCACCAGAAGTTTGCTAGAGTATCGCTGAAATGTTTTGAATGTCACTGGAAGTCGTCGGAATGTCTAGAACGTTCGCTAGACGTCATGAACACGTCGGAGACTCACCGAAATGTCCAGAATATTGTTGAGAAAAAAAATGGAGAAATTAGAGTGAATAAACATAGTAAAATGTGCTAAATATTGATAAACTGAAAGAGAAAAAAAACATAATAATTACAAACATCAACAATGGGAAAAAAAACATGTATTATTTTTCAACTTTTTGTAGGGTTTAAACAAATAATCTCAAATATTGATCAAACTGAAAAACAAGTTTTGAAATTATAAAATGTTACAATTTAAAGCATGATTCTATTAAGTATTTATACTTATTAATCAAATTGAAAATATATTATGAAACTGTAAAAATTTACAATTCTAAAGAATATTATGAAATTGTAAAATTTTACAATTCTAAAAGATGTTATGAAATTGCAAAATTTTAGAATTTTAAAGCATGATTTATTTCCGCAACAAAAAATTTAAAACTATAATATTTTATAGTTTTCATTGCCTGTAATTAAAACTTGAAAACAACTTGTTCAGAATTTGAAAATTTTCTTCATTAGAATAGGAAAATAGAAGTGTTTAGCAGAGAAAAAATAGAAAAATTAAGAGATTGAATAAGAGAAACATATATAAAGAGAATATTGTACTCCGAAAACTATTTTTGGTTTAGATTTATTCAAATTTGAGTAAATTGATATCAGATTTAAGTAGATCTTATCTTCTTCATCGAAACTCATCTCCTTTGCCTTCAGTGATGGTGAAGTAAAGAGTCTGTGGTTGGTGGTTGCCAGTGAACCTCAATTAATCGTGATTGTTGGTCGTCGATGATTATATATCAGAAAGAGAAAGAGAAGAAGTAAGACGTGGTTTCCGGTCGCAGGAAGAGAAAGAGGTAGAGAAAAATGAAGGCGCAAAGAAGAACAAAGAAGAAAAATGCATAGTAGACTTTTGAGAGTATCCAAAAGGTTGTGGGACTAAATAGGCTATTCATTTTTCAAATAGGACTTCCAGGTAATTTGTCCAAAAAAAAGAAGGCAAATCTAGGCCCATACATGCAAAACTACTCATTTCTACGTGGTGGCTTTGACGTGTTCGGATCCTCTGCAATTATCCTCTAGATTGCGACACTTGTCCCACTAGAGTGATCCAAAACGACACCATTTTGGTGGGAAGGACCGGAAAAAAAAAAAACTTGGTGTTTGGTTTTGTTTTGGAATTGTGATTTTAATAAAAAAATTTCAAAACTTATAACTAATTACATAATTCAAAAACATATTAAACTCATTTCAAAACTTAAAACCAAATTATTTTTAAAACTTTATTTTTAAAAAAAAAGATCAGAAAAATATATTTTTTATTTTATTTTTTAAAATTATTTTTAGAATCATGATTTGAGTATAGAGTCATGTTTTGAGTTATGAGTTTTTAGTTGAGTTTTGAATTTTTATTTTATTTAGTTATGAGTTTTGAAAATAGTTTTTAAGTTGTATTTTGAATTTTTTTGGATTTAACTTTTTTAAATATTTAAAAATTTCTTAATTTTATTTTTTAGGTTAAATATTTTATTTTTTAAATATTTATTTATTTATTTAATGTGCATTGTATTTCATACATTTGTGTGTTGTATTTTTTTAAATATTTTAAATATATTTTATAATATTAAAAAAAATTAATTTATTTTATATTTTAAATATAATTTTTATTTTTATTTATTTTTTATTTTTTTATTTTAAATAAATATATTTTTAAATAATTTAATTTTTTAGTCATGTGTTTGGTTACAATTTAAGTGTCTAGTTTTGAAAGTATCGTGAAGTTATGTGTTCGGTTATGAGTTTTGAAGATAGTTTTTGAATTGATTTTTGACTTTTGTGTTTAGTTACGATTTTAGTGTGGAGTTATATTTTGAGTTTAAAATATTAAAAATTTAAAATATTTACAAAATAAAATAAAATAAAATATTTAAAATTATATATTTAAAAAAAAATTAAACATTTTTTAATATTTCAAAAAAAATAAATCTAAAAAATTTTAAAATACAACTCAAAATTCAAAAACTCAAAACTTAAAATACAGCTGAAAACTCTTTTTAAAACTCAAAATTATTTTCAAAATTTAAAATTCAAGAACTTTTTTCAAAATTCACAACTAAATAAATTTTCTCTCTCTTTAAAACTTAACTTACAACCCTACATTTAAATCATGGAAAAAACGTGGTAGCTTGAATTGGAGGAGGCTTGAATGGCCCGAATGGGTGTTGGCCGGACGTCCGCCCGGACGACCGGGTGAAAGATTGTTTACCGTGGTTGTCACCTTTGTCGACCGCGGCTATCAACCCCCTAGCCGGACGATCGGCAAGGTGAATTTCGAGCCATTCGAACCAACTTCATATTCAAGCTACCAAGCATTGCTCTTAAATCATATTTTTAACCTCACATCATAATTTTAAAACTAAACAGAATTTTTTGTTTTACAGGTCGAAGGCAACTGAAAGGGAGGGAGACGTAGTTCGGAGACAACGAGAGAGAGAGAGAGAGAGAGAGAGACGCATAACCACCATCACCGGTGAGTTCTCCGCTGTCCTCAGCGAAGAGAGAAAGACGAAACAAGTGCAAAATGAAAGGAGAGAAGAAGAAATCTTTTGAGAAGAACGGCGGTCCTTGGCCATTGTCTCATGCCATAGATTAAACCAGGTTCATCCTCCAAACTCATTATTGAAAGAATGAAAGCAGGTTAAGAAATTGAATTCTAGATTGAAAAGTTAGGGTTTTTTATTTGGGGCTTTGATTTGTAGATTCTTTTATCTGCATTGTTGTCTTTGAGTTGCATAGTGGTTCTCTATTTCAAAGTTTGCTTTTATCCATTTGGGTTGAGTCTGGCAACTATTTGAGATATACCAATCAGAGAAAACTGTTTCAAGGTTTTCTTTTATCCATTTGGGTTGAGTCTGGCAACTATTTGAGATATACCAATCAGAGAAAACTGTTTCAAGGTTTTCTTTTATCCATTTGGGTTGAGTCTGGCAACTATTTGAGATATACCAATCAGAGAAAACTGTTTCAAGGTTTTCTTTTATCCATTTGGGTTGAGTCTGGCAACCATTTGAGATATACCAATCAGAGAATTAATAGTTCACAATAACAATCTGAGTTTTTGTCACAAATGAGCCATTTTTCATAACTCCAAATTTGATTTTACTTTATCGTTTTTTCTTGTAATCTTTGTTGTCTGACATCAAAACACACAATTTTTAGCATTGGAAACAAATCAGTAGCACTTCTTATTGATCTGCATATATAAACACTGCTACATATTATGTTTTGTTTTTCCTTTTCCAACAATTGCCTATTTCCTTATGTTTGCCATTCAAAGTTGAATTGAATACAATATTTTAGCCAAGGTTTGTCATTGAGTAAATTTCTTTTCTGGTCATGTTATGTGAGTTCAAAAATGAAGGTCCTGTTTTCTCATTGAGAAGGAAATAATTTCAGAAATTAGGGTGGATGCCTCTGCAATGAAATTGCCTCTACATTTTGACGATATTTGCATGGTTGATATATTACAAGAACAGATTCTAATATGAAAGATGATTATAAAAGAATGGTTTCTGATAAATTATGATGATTAAACAAAGCATTGTTGAATTGCTTGACAATTAGCAGTGCGACTTGTATCGCAGTTCGAGAATGGGCGATGTTAGGTATCCTTGGTGAATTTGACTTGCAGTTGGGCGAGTCTATTGAGTCTGCAGCCTTGTTTTCAGTGGTTACACAACCTACACTTGCGAATCGAGTGTTAGAAGCACAGAAGGGTGACCTTGAGACAGAATCTCTCCGGGAGAAGATCTCCAATGGAAAGGTAGAGAAATGATTGAATATGTATCCCAACCAGAGTGTGAGATACCGTGACTATTTGTTTGTGCCGGAGTCTTGCCGAGAGGAAGTACTCCGACAGTTTCACCACTCGCACCTTATAGTGCATCTGTGAGGCACAATGATGTATCACGACCTTAGTCGCCAGTTTTGGTGGAGGGGTATGAAGAGGGATGTGGCGGTGTTTGTATCGAGGTGTCTTAATTATTAGCAAGTGAAAGCCGAACATCAGATGCCGACGAGTTTGTTGCAACCCTTACATATAGTCGAGTGGAAGTGGGAGCATGTTACGATGGATTTCGTTGTGGGTCTTCTAGAACTCAACGAGGCAATGATGCCATTTGGGTGGTAGTTGATCGATTGACCAAGTCGACGCATTTTATACCTATGCGTGTGAGTGACTCAGTAGATTTCCTTGCCGACTTGTATATTCGGGACATAGTGAAGTTGCACGGGGTCCTAGTGACAATTGTTTCGGATAGAGATCCGTGTTTTACGGCCCGGTTGTGGCAAAGTTTATAGAGTGACTTGGGCACTAGACTGGCTTTTAGCACAACATATCATCCTCAGACTGACGAGTAGTCAGAGCATGCCATTCAGATTTTAGAGGATATGCTTTGAGGTTGTGTCCTCTATTTTAAGGGTTCGTGGGAGAAGCACTTGCCCTTGGTAATGTTTGCCTATAACAATAGCTTCTAGTCGACTATTGGCATGACACCATTTGAGGCCTTGTGTCACGACCCAAACCCGGCCCTATGGGTTTAGCACCGTAACCGGCCAGTAATCCGAGATTACCGAAGGCCTGCCTAACAGTAAACCAGTAAAACAGAGTACAGGGCCTGGCGGAAGCCAATACAGTAAATAAACAATGTCCAATTATCAGTCATAATCAATTCAGTTTAACGGTAATCAGTGTTTATCGGTAAACAGTAACGAGGGTTGTTACACCTTGTATGGCCGACCGTGTAGGTCTCCTGTGTGTTGGGTCGAGGTGGGTGATGCACCTTTGTTGGGTCTAGAGTTGGTTTGAGAAACGACGGAGAAAGTAACACTTATTCGTAAGAGGTTAGTTATGGCTCAAAGTCGCTAGAAAATCTATGCTGACCGTAGGAGGAGACCTTTTTCTTTTGAGGTATGAGATCACGTCTTTTTGAAGATATCACCTAGACGAGGTTTGATGAGATTTGGCAAGAGTGAAAAAATTATCCTTTCGATTTATTGGGCCTTTTGAGATCCTTGAGCGGATCAGAGAGGTTGATTATTATTTGGCATTGTCGTCATAACTTTCCGGAGTTCATGATGTATTTCATATTAGCATGCTTCAGAAATATGAACCGAATCCATCACATGTATTAGATTAGACCAATTTAGAGGTCGACGAAGACGTCTCGTATGAGGACAGACCGGCGAGAGTCTTGGATACTTGGGATCAAGTCTTGCGAGGCAAGATAATCCCCTTAGTAAAAGTATTGTGGAAACATCACGGAGTCGAGGAAGCGACTTGGGAGCGTGAATTAGAAGTCCGAGAGAAATATCCGGATTTGTTTGTAGGTGCCTGCATATGTTTGAGATTTTGATTATGTTAATGGAATGTAATAACATTGTATATGTCTTAAATTATGAGAACATTGTATATGTTATGGGAGTTTGGGATCATGAGTTTAATATAAACATTGTATATGTTTTAAGAATATGAAATATTGTGTATGTTGTATCACTATTGGGAGCATTGTATATGCTGTATAAATTTTAGAAAAAGAACTTGGACTTAATTAATCATTGCACATGATTTGGGAAAATGTGAATTGTATATTCGATATTGAGATGTTGTCAAATTTGTTGTTGAGAATAGATGGCCGGTGAATAGGTCATGGTGATGGAATTGAATGATTATCGTGATCATAATTAGTTTTAACTGTGTTTTAAAACTTAATTTGAAATTTCAGGGACGAAATTTTTTAAGGGGGGAAAGTTTTAGTGATTCCAGTTATGACCCGACATTTGTAGTAGTTCAGACTCGAGTTTATAGTTTTTGTATGTTGTTCATTGTCTTCCCTCTTTATTCCTCCTTAAATTTGGTTATTTGGATGTGTTGGGTGTGTTTGGAATAGGTTGGTTACTTAATTTTCAAACCTTGTGCTACCCAGAATTTTGGACCTCCGTTCAAGTGGGCCTTCTTGCGCTCGAGCGGAGTTTGCAAATCCTCAGTACTTTGCATGTCTACAAAAATACTAGAGGAGTGTTTTCCACGCTCGAGCGGCGTTTCCTACGCTCGAGCAGGTGAGAGCTCGAGCTTCCCTTTTTGCGCTCAAGCGGTTTGTCTATTGTCTACAAAAGTACTAGAGGTGTGTATTCTGCACTCGAGCGGGCCTCTTCTTGCACTCGAGCAAAACAACTTATTGTGTCTGACACTCGAGCGTCAACTTCTCCGCTTGAGCCAATTGTGCGTATATCAGATCGCGAAAATGACTTTTTACATCACTTTTTCGGATCTTTTCTTCTAAAAACCCTAAAGTGAGACCTTCTCTCTTTAAAATACTCTCTCTCTACTTTTTTTCCTTGATTCGTTGATCTCTCTGCTCTAGTGTCTTGAGAAAAAGGGTTGAGCATCTTGGGAGCTTCACTTTGAACCGATTTGAATTTACTTTCGGCATTGTTGGAGTTTCGTGCTTGCTCCATTGGTCTTCTAAACTTGAGGTAGGGATTCTCTACACCTTAATATTGGTTTTAGCTTGGTTATAGGCTGTTGCATAAAAATGGTGAGATTTTGGGAATGTTTTGAGCAAACCTAGGGTTTGGGTCAAAGTTTGAAAAGAGGAGTTTTTATGTAAGTGTTGTATAAGTGGTTTTGGGGTTTGGTTATGAGGTTACCATCTGTCAAAATAGTTGATTTTGGCCTTTGGGTTGATATTTGGAAAGTGAGGAGTTTTACCTTAAAATGTCTTAGGTAATTATTTTGTACAAATAATAAAATTGGTATGGGGAATGTGAAATTGGGAGGATGTATACATAAATGGTATTGTTGAATTTGTTTAATCACTCACCTATGAAAATTTGATGAATTACCTGTTATAAAGGTTGCATATCTATTTAGAGATAACTGTTTTGGACTATCAGTAGAAGATAGTCATATTGTTGTAGATACTGTATGTGAATTAAACGAATTGAAATTAATCCTTTAACCATTATCATTGAATATTATATGAATGATATGCATTGTATATATATGATATTTGGGAGTTAAAAGGGGATGTACTCCATGTTTTTGAGGGGAAGAAATGAGATGGACTCCATTGAACTAAGTTAGCTTGTGTGTCCAGGGTGAAAGTCCCGAAAACCATTTGTATACATGGGTGCCAATTCCCACGGACAAAATTTTTGTAAAATGGTAAATGGAAGTGAATGTATTTATATGATGATTTATCTGTGGAAACTTGTGAGGTGTAACCTCTGTTGACGGATTAAATGCAGTGGATGTATCTATTAAAACAAAAGGAATGAATTGAGGGGTAAGCTTCGACATAACATGGTTGTGGAAAGAGTTACACGGATTTTGTCATTGGACAATGAACATATGCATTATACTTATATCTTGTTAATTCTCATATGCTGTGCTAGTATGTTTATACTGGGTTTTGGCTCACCTTACTTGGGAAACCATTTTCAGGTGTTGGTGACATGCTTCCGCCAAGGTAATAGCTTGGAGGAATACATGGGAGCAAGGGCTTCTTTATTTTGTTGTATATTTTTGTATAGCCAAGAGATTTAAACTGTATTGAGCCATGCTTACTTTTGTATAACCAAGTAATGACTTGGAGAGATGTAAGCCCGTAGGACATCCTTTTTGTCAATCATTAACTACTATTACATGCAATAGATTCAGGATGTACATTTATGAATATATCACATGTATTATCTTTTGTAACACGAACTCTGATGAATGAAGGTATATCATTCCCATGATTACTTCTCTTATGAGTTAGATTT